ATGTCAAAGTTTGTTTTAGCCAGTGTCCCCAAAAACATGGCGGCCTAGAAGAACAAAAAAATAGGGTCACACTATTACAAAGAGCAAACTTCTCATAGAAACACTATTCTACATAATATGGAAGATCTCTGACTCTAGTCTAAATATTTCAGCATCAGACTTTAAAACCTCATCTCCTATTCAGCATGTAGACCCACACACTGACCTGATCTCGTGTCCATGTCTTATTGTTGATCACTTTGGTGTCCACAGTCTCCTCAGAAAATACCAGCAGGTATGGTGGGATCTCAGGTGCCATCGAATCGGGGACATTCAGCACCACGCTGGCCGGACTCGTGTCCACAGAAATAATCTGTCAAGTTGTTAAATGCATTTAAATTGAAATGCTATGTATTTGCATGCAAGGGTGTAGGTTAGGAATATATATGTATTGCACAAGTTTTACTGAAAAAAACATTTCCCACAGTTTCAGCATAGATGTCAATCTGTATTAAGATCTTTCACGATGGAAAATCACAAAAATTAATTAAAGCCTGCAAAGTTTTCATAAGTAAAATACTGTACTTTGTTGCATTTGGGCAGGGTTTAGCTTTTATTTTAATATACAATTACACACACAGATAAACCTATATGGATTATTTCCCCCCAAAAAACAACATAATGAACGTGTAGCTTGGGTAAAAGTGAAAATTATGCCCCAAACATTTTAAAATAAAGCACAAAGATGAACGAGCTATTGATTTGAGCACCAGATGTTGCTGTAGAATCAGAAGTTAACTCTGCACCTTTTTGACGAAGGTCTGCTGGACGGCTGTTGGGGCTGCCAGCATGTTGGCAACAAAGCTGGCGTTCTTGGAAATGTTGAGTAGCTCAGAGGCTGGGATATTTTCTACCGACTCTGAAGGAACTCCAATGACCAGCGTGCCGAGGAATTCCAGGGAAGCTCCACTGTTGATCTGTTGGATACATTTGCATTCATAAAACATGTGGCTGCTACTTCAAGGTCATGGTATATTTGGTGAACCCCTACTGAACACAATACAGAACAATGTAAGACACATGCAGCAAAACATTTAGCATTTCACATCAGCCACTCTAAGTGGATGAGTATGGCCATTACCTGGAAGTGTGAGGCAGGAATGTTTTGGATGATTGTGAAGGCCTGGTCCAGACTCCAGGTGCTGACTGAGGCCAGGGTGGCAAAAGAAGAAACCAGCTCTGATGGGGGAACTGAAGCGAGCTGGCTCTTGGTTAGACCTGCACTGGCATCACCAAGACTTTTAAATGTCTGTGCTGTGATGGTCTTGATGTTGGATGCCAGAACAGTCGATACCTGTTGAATGCAAACACTATAATCGACATGTTGCATTCACACAAGATAAAACATTTGACTTAACCTAATTCTGTAAAAAAAAAGAAAAACTACAGATTCTGTACTTTTCGGCAACTGCAAAGTTAAGACTTTGAAAATTCAGGGGCTTTTCTTCTGAATTGCAGTCTGTGTTTACATAGAGCAGCGATCAGACGAGAATGTGAATGTAAAAGAGAGAACGTGAGGTAAATAAAACATATATGATGAATAAGATACTTGCAGCATGGTTAAAAAATGTTACAAAGTGGAGCAAGTTGTCAGCAAGTTGTTGGACGTTGCATCCAGTGGTGAGGTGAAATATGTTTCTGGAGTTGAGCGGTGTGAAAGATGGCTAGTTTGTAGAGGTAGTAAACACTGGAGTAGTAAAATATTTATAGTATGTGGAGCACTCATTTTTTCCAGGTTTGCCAACACTTGTGGACACTCGGAAAAATGTAAAATATTAATTCAAGGTGGTTTTGTTGTAAAAAAATAAATAAATAATCAAAGAAATGTAACATTGTACTTTAGGATTTGTGGCATTATTAATGTTTTATACTGCACAGGAGACATTTTGAGTTTTCTCTCCTTCTAGCCAACATTTAACTATTTTTATAGAGAGGATATACTTTATATTGCAGTGAAAAATGGGCCCACAGTGAATAGAAATTAAAAGGCACACCCATAAAAGTTCATAAACTCTTCCATTACAATCTAAATAATGTCCTTCTGGAGATCTTTTCTTTGTTGAGGGCATCAACATGTGGAGAATCCATTTAATAATATGTTAACAAAGCCACCGTATTAAAAGACCAGTGTGTAGGATTTATCGGCATCTAGTCAGGCTGTAGATTTCACAATAGCTAAACTATGGTGGAAACATGGTGTTACAAAATGATGGGCTCTTTAGAGGAGGAACTGCTCCCTGTTTGGATATAAAGGGTTTATCCTAAGCTAGTGGAAATACAGTGATTCATAGTCACAGATGAAAGCTTAGTTACAAATAGTGTATTTCAATTAAATCCGACACAGGAAGGAATCATCAGCCATGTAGTCAAAGCTGAGCTGGTGATTTAAATAGAGTTTTATAGTAAATTTACTGCGTC